AATGTATATCACGTAGGTATGAATGGTATGTGCAGCGTGGACCTTACATGCAAGGTCTGCTTCCTATTTCTGAAGTGAGGTCTACTGATAACATTTTATCATATAGATATATGCTAGGATAACCCCTCTTCATTTTAAATTCATAATGTTTGAAAAATATTCTTTTTCTCGGGAGATATTGCGTATGCGCGAGCACCGTTTCAGACGTTCGGTACGGCCAAAGAAATTATGACACTCCTGCTAGTAATACAGCGGAATACTATACGTTGGATGGTACCGCCACCTTTCGGACGATCGGGCATTCACATGTATTCGCAGATGACGTCATATGAGTGATGGTGCATTGTAACTACAACACGGCGCATTCTCTGGCAACCTAGCAGCAGCAGCATCCAGTGGCATTGCTGCTGCGTGCACGTGTGAGCAGTACATCAGTGTCTCTTCTCCGTGGGATGAGCTACGTAAATTCAGTTGTAGTGTGTCGCGGCTGACAGCGTCTCCTGTTTAGCAAATGTGATTCCTCACCAACCGCGGGGAAGGTCACGCCACTTCACCGATCAGCGTGGAAGAAGTAGCAACGACAAGGCGTCTGCCGACAACAACCTACTCCTTGCTCGTGCGTGTAGTAGTGACAGCCGAGGACACGAGGTGAAAGACGAGGGAGATGGCATCGCCGTGGAAAGTAGGCTTCTTCATATTCGCGCTCTTTCTCGCCGCTCCGCATCCTAGTTGGCAAAAATTGGAGGCTGTTTTTCAAGGTTAGTCTTTTCACCGGTCACTTTTTATTTTATTGCAGTTCTTTACTGTACAGTGTACTGCTGTGACTCGCTATTACTAGTATTACCAAATTATACAGTTATAATTGACCATTACACTATATTACATTGTATTATATAAATTATAATGTATCGCATCGCCGCGTGTACTGATCTTACCAGCGTATAAAACTTAAAAATAAGTACAATGGGTAATGTGCATATATTTATGTGACAAATACTTAACTCGTTTGTGGTATATGTAACGGAATATGTTTCACCGGCAGATATTTTGCCTGCTCTGACCCCCCCCCCCTCCCATACCAAGTTTCACTCGGTGGTCATGCATGTCTAAAGAGCTATTATAGCCTCTAGCTATAAATTCAGCAACACTGGATCGATGAAACTATAGAAATATCTCAACAGCTATACCCAAAGCTTCGGCTTGTAGTTGTAGTATAACTACAAGACACTGAGAGATATTTGACATAATGGCATATATTTCTGTCTTGTACTGTTATTCTAAAATTTTGAATAACCTGAACAAAAAAGAGTACTGTAAGTTATTAGACGTACATGTATGCGCTTGCTAGGCATGCATGTCTGCTCTGTTGTATATTGGTTAGAGAAGATCCACTTGTTAGAACGTCATATCGAATTTTTTGGTGAGAATGATTTCAGTAACATTAGTATTTGGACTAGTAGTTGTAGAAATGGATATAGTAAAATACAACATAAAGGCCACATGAGCTAATATGGGTCGAGCTGGATATACAAGAATAGACAAGGTCGTGCAATGGAGGAGATGTAGCAAATATAAAATAATTTGTAGTATTGCGCATGCATTAAAATAAACGAATGTGGTAATTTTGTGAAAAACCATTAAAAATGATTTCGGCGCTGTTAGTACCTATAGAATTTAAATCCTTGTTTTTTAGCAGTATATATTTCTAATTGCCACATGCAGACATATAATGAATGCGGGAGTTGTTTTATTAATGTGTGATATATAAATAATATACTAGACATTGCTGCATAATTCATGATTACGTGTGTCAATGTACTATTTATGCACTTATTACACGTGTTGCCGGCGGATTGCTTTATTGGTTTGTCATTGAAACATAATGTTGTCTTAAAATATAGTAATTGATATGCGTAGGTGCGTGCGTACATCTACATATATACAGGGTGCGAAATTAACGGGAGTCCGGAGTCAAATACTCCCTGATTAACGGCCAACCCAGAAGCCACCGGCTAATGCCGTGATCCACTTTGGAAATAATAATAATAATAATAATAATGTATACTAATGAATTCTTCGTGGTGAGCGAGTTGTGTATGCTTGCCTCCTTGTATTTCGCACGGATACGAGCGGGCGGGACTGCAGCGCCACTGGCGGCGATAGAGTGAAGCTCGTTGACGTTATGTATCACATCACGCAGAGTTCCCGCGTAGCACTTCTATATGGATTTTAGTATTTTACACGCATGATATTTCATTGACCTCACGCCGAGTGTATGGCTACTCACACGCACGCACGCACGCACACGCAAGTACGCGCAGACGCACGCACACAGCACGCACGCACACACACACGCGCGCGCACACGCACAGGCACACGCACTGGGGACTGTTCCCTCTCGAATCTCTGCGGCAAAGGTTAAGGGCCGACAGTGACACATCATGACGCGGGGGGGGGTGCAAATTCGATGCGATCTACGAACGTATCGATACATTATCATAAGTAATATAGGCCTACGCTGTGCCGCTCCAACATTTGCACGTAAATTGGAATCGCGTATTAATTTATTTCTGTAATGTATGCCGACGGCTCGCCGGTAGCAAGGTAGCACGAAGGAGGCTAGCCCTGTATGATTGCACGCCCAGAGATTTTATCATCGTGATTTAAATAACTAGACTAGAATTCATCAAACTTATAGCAACCGAAAAGTGTGTATATATATATTTATACGCGTATATATACATATGCATGACTTGCTTGGATAGTACTTATTTGGATTTAATCATCCCTCTTATAAATCTTCTTGTATCAAAACAATATATTTGAAAATTCATTATATTATGGAGTCTAGAGCGGTATGATGTTATACAGTGGGCTTTCTGAACCAGCTCGTGAGAACCTCTCTGAGTTTGAATTAGAGCAGTGCATATAGATGTTGTGTTCGTCGTTGGCACAAGCCGCAGCAGCAATGCTGTCGAACAGCGCACAAAACGCGCGCACAGCCGCGTGTGATACGTGAATGAGTTGTGCAAACATCCGCACCGTTGTGCTCGCGCTTAAAACCCCTCATGTTGATCATCATCTACCACACTGACTATCTACTGGGTATAGGAGATTCGATACATAGATACGTATACAAATATATATAGTGTATATATATAGATGTGTGTGCGTGTGTGCGTGCGTGCGTGCGTGTGTGCATGCGTGTGTGTACATATATATAGATATATATATATATAGATGTGTGTGCGCGCGTGCGTGCGTGCGTGCGTGTGTGCATGCGTGTGTGTACATACATGTACGTGTACATATATATAGTAATACCATCAATATATAAATGAGCTTGTCAATTTTTGGTAATAAATAATTTCGAATATGTTATATGAGCAACAATAAGTCATAACTTCATCTGAAGGGTAGTGCGCTTTATCTATGCATACAGCACACGTCTCTAGATGTATTTACGGCCTGATGCATAATATAGAAGTATGTTGCCTAAGGGACAGTGACCTATAACCCAATACGTCAGTTGCAAATTGTATTGCTCTGATAATTATGATGGTATATGGTAACATCTAAACGTATACAGTGCACGTAGGGTGAATTTGTTAGCGCGCAACACGTTGGCAATCTTGTTCTATTGATCACCTGCTGCGTGTGTACGTGTGTGTGTATGTTGTCTGCGGTGTGTGCATGCGTGCGAGCTGACTGTGCGTCATGTCTATAGGTAAAATGTACATGTGTAAGCGCTGTACATAGAGTCACCATGGCCGCATCTATGAGCGGGATTAGGAAGCTGAGATTGCATTTCCTACGCTAGCGTTTCGGCATATATAGATTCCATACATCAGGTAGTGCGCATATAAATAAATAAATGAATAAATAATCTTTCCGTGCAAATAGGGGAGCGGCTAAACGGGGGTAGGGAAGGTATGTCAAACAAACCATTCTTTAGTAATGCATCAGTAATATTGTAAAATAGATAACGTAGCTCATCTAAATTATTATATCTTGATGTTCATGTGAACATGCAGGGATTGGGATCGCCTCATTATGTGTTTCCATGTAATTATCCTAATTAATATACGGACAGTCAGAGCTAAGTTCAAGCTGACGTTCAGAGCGATAATAAATTCTAAGGGGATAGGTCATCGAGTGGAAAAGCCATGATCAAAGGGAAGATCAGCATTACTTTTGCGTGACGTTAAGTATAGCCAGTGGGCGATTCTCCCTGTTAGCATAAATTCTAACGCAGTGATGACGTCCATGCAGCCTAGTCAACATGCAGCTACGTTGTTGTTGTTGTGTTGTTGTCGTATGTGCGTGTGCGCCTGCGTGTGTGCGAGCGTGCGTGCGTGGCTGTGCCTGTGTCTGTGGCTGTGGCTGTGGCTGTGTAGTGATTGTATCAGGAGTATCATAATATAGCCGGTTACACTATATTATGATACTTCTTCTCTACATTATGACACTCCTGATTGTATAACATCAATGTATTATTAGCTCTTGATAACATGCGGTGTTTTTGCCAACATTGGGTTCCTACTAACTAGTATATTGCTTGTCATTCATTACTCACTGTTTACGTAATCCTATATGCTGTTTATTCCGCCGAAGGCAATCTGTCGATGAGGATCGTGAGAGAAACACGGGCGACCCTCACGACTATCACCTCACTACGTTGCCATCGTTGATCGTGCACTGCTGTGATGATCCTTTGAACTTATCTTGAGCAATAATCGTGACAACGACGTCGAATTTCGTACCGTTTAGTAAAAAGATCGAGAAAGCTAAAGTTCTAAAACCAGTCGTTTACGGTAAAATCGCTAAAATGCGGTGAAAAACGAATTGTTTGCGTACGAATTCAATTCGAGAGAACAAATCCAAGATGGTAAAATGACGATGTTCTAGAGAATGGACACTTGGGCAGAACAGGTGTTCGCTTTCTCACGCCAGCTTGGTTTCTTCGTGTAGCCAAACTCGTATGTTGTGTGACATGAAAAGGGACATGAGGGAAATTCATATAGTGTGTAAGCACCGTGAAGACAGTGAAGAAGAGAAGTAACATGTATCATATATAACCCCTTATAACATGCAATTTTTCATTAAAACATGCAAGCATCATGCATGCATTATTTATAACATGCAATTTCTTTGCTAAAGATCAATTTGAATTGGATTTTAATTGAAATTGGAATTGAAATTTTCTAAAGATTTTATGTTCTGCCTTAAAAGTAATGCTAATAAGCTTTTAGATGCAATGAGAGAGAGAGAATATAATATGAATATAAAAGCAAAATGACGTGCAAGCTTTATTTTGCAAGCTTTTGAGAACATGTCTCGTCGTCAGGCTTCACAAACAACAGCAAGAATGACGCCTGACGAAGAGACATGTTCTCGAAAGCTTGCTAAATGAAAAAATTGACACCTCATTCTATTTTTACACTTATATATATATATATATAAAGCATGTCATTCTCAGCTGAATAAATGATTAATTATAGATAAACTCACACGTCTGCTTCAGTCGGAGCAGTAACTATGCATATGAATAGGTGCATCACCAGGAAATCGGAAACATTTTACCACGTTGCGTCACGTTACAGGTCAGTGTACACACCTCAACCCGTGCGAGCACCGCTGCATCAACCAGGTGGACAGCACGTTCGAATGCGCTTGCTTCGAGGGCTACGAGCTGTCTCACGATGGAGCCAGCTGCCGAGGTAAGTCCCCGACGCTCTCCACTCCCGCGCGCAAAAACCCACGTCAATCTCACACTCTGCTGCACAGGGAATCGAGCTTGCGAGCGTAGAACTTGGACGCGTGTGATGGGTACAGATTGGTGGACATAGGTCTGTCTATGTGTGTTAGATTTCACACGCGCTGTTTCCTGAGTTAGACATGCCCTGAGCAATGTATAGTCAGCACAGATGACACTCCTTGGTCGCAAAACGCGTGAAATATGCACGAAGGGATGTCGTCAACAGTAAAGTGTATGTCTAGACTGCACTAGCAATGATCTCGTCGGTTGAGATCGAATTGTCGTGGATGTACATTTGATTGCGGCTCTTATTGTATCCCCCGCAACGAAGTCGGCGGGGATACTATGGTTTCATGTCTCCCCAGCCGCCGCCGCCGCCGCCGCCGCCGCCGCCGCCGCCGCCGCTGCTCGGTCCGCCGCAGAGAATTTCCCTTGGTAAACTTGGTATACTTATGCTAGGGGCACACGAGCGATTTTTATCGCCCGATCGCGGCGATTAAAATTGCCAGCGAATTTAATCGCCCGATCACGAAGGGGCACACGTAGCGATTTTTATCGCCCGATCACGAAGGGGCACACGTGACGTAGCGAATTTGAGAGCGTACGCGTACGCCACTCGACAGAACATTTAACATCACATGATATCAACAACACGTCCGATTGGTTTAGAAAAATCGATCGGGCGACAAAATACGCCGGTCAGGGGCACACGAGCGATAATAATCGCCCGGCGTAAATAATCGCCCGAAAATATCTAACATTTTGGATACGGGCGATTCGGTCGGCCGATTAAAATCGGCGTCGACGTGAACGGGCACACGGGCGATTTCTTCGAGCGATTTCAAAATTCGCGGCGATCGGGCGATAAAAATCGCTCGTGTGCCCGTGACCGGCGTATTTTGTCGCCCGATCGATTGTTCTAAACCAATCGGACGTGTTGTTGATATCATGTGATGTTAAATGTTCTGTCGAGTTCTAAAAATCGCTACGTGTGCCTCTTCGTGATCGGGCGATTAAATTCGCTGGCAATTTTAATTGCCGCGATCGGGCGATAAAAATCGCTCGTGTGCCCCTAGCATATAACTGACAAGTGCTATAACATACAGCTCAGTGGTATACTATACACGAGTGTATATACACTATACACGAGTGTATAT